GGTGTGACTCTTTTTCTTATTTTTGGATATTCTCCCATCTGACCTTTGTCATCACAGCCATTGCTCGTGTCACTCACGGAAGTTAAAAAACCAGACGATGCTGTTTATATCTGAAATAGATTGCTTGTAAAAAAAAATTTTAAGAACGAAAGAAAGAAGGCTGAATCGAAAGACTCTAAAGCACTTTGGTCGCCCATCCATAGGGACCATGACATCCCTCGGGCAAAGTCTGCCCACATTAATAATTGATGGAAATGTACCCTTTGAACTGAGGTTGATCGAAGTATCCCTGCACCTATAAAAATAGGAAAGATAAAATATGCCAAACCCAAAACAAAATTTATTTTTAAAAAACAAAGAAGGAAAGCAATGGGTTGAAGGGGAAACTCGTAAACCCATTGCTAAGTTGCAGAAGGTGAAGTTTAAAACACACACACACACACACACACCTCTGCACTAGACGACCACTTTTCTCCTCGACAAAGGGTGCCCGTCTTAGACGATTTCTACTTATATAGTATTATTATTATGTGGGTGGTTGGTTGGTGCTGTGGCATGGTTTGCTCGATCTTTCCTATCAAACATCTATCGTCGTCCTATCTCTCCTCCTCCTCCTCCTTTTCTTGCGTGTGTTACTTTCCTTTCCTCAAACATCTCTAATCGTAGGCACTTTATATGACCTAATTATATTGCACTCTTACTAAAACAAACACGGCAACTGCGTCTCTCCTCTACAATGAGGGACCGTCTTGGACTATTTCGGTTAATATTGCACTATGTATTAGCTGTTTAGTTGATTTCACCTCCAAATCCTGGTATGTTGGTGATTGGTTGGTGGGTGCTCTGGTGTGGTAAAACGAGCTTTGTAAAACACTTACAAAAATGAAGAAAAAAAACCAAAAACCCCAGCTATCTTTCTTTTCTCTCCTTTTTTTTTGGTGTGTTTTTTACTCTCTTGTAACACCTCTAATCTTTGGCACTGGCACTTATATGACCTCGTTGTGTTGCAAGTGCCGTAAAACTTAGTAAGACAAACAAGATAGCCATATTTCTCCTTTACAAATGAGTGACCGTCTTGGACAATTCCGACTAATGTGGTACTGTACATAGCTTGTGTAGCTGATGCCGCAAACTCCCCAGAC